AAATTGATTGCTTAGGAAATCCTGCCTGGGCAGTCAGTTTACTGTAACAGAATTGGTGAATTCCAGGTGCTGCAGTAGACTGGGCGGATAAATCGACCCAAGTGTAATTAAACACACGGCTCCCGACAGGGCCTCGATAACTCAGTTGGCTAGAGCGCTGGCTGTACGAAAGCCTTCCCCTTGCTGGCTTGGGTCCGAATTCCACAGAGGCCGTCGAGATTTTCACAAGTGACTCAAATAAATTACTTAAATCCAAAGCCAAAGCCTCCATTAATTCTACACTTCTTCGAGGTCTGGAGACCCCTGCACCTGTGCTGGCAATTTAAGTTACGAAAGTAAGTGTCAGACAGTGAACGCGGTTGGCATTTCGACTCTAATAGAATAAACGTCCTGATAATTAAAGTCAACCAGTGCTGCTAGAAGAAAATACTTTTTGTGGCGGCACTGCACTCAAGAAGAAAATGGAGCTATATAAAATAAACAGTAGTAGAAATAGGTAAGTTAAATTACAGTGGAGCGAAGTACAATGGACCACACGAAAATTTGACTTTCGCAATCAATGATGTCTAGTGCTGTCTTGGAAGATTAGTAGTGATGTGCAAACATTTGATTATGGTGAAGGAGAACGAAGTTGCCTCTGCAGGAAGCATGCGCCATACCTCAAAAGCAGCACAAGTCAGGAAGACTGATAAAACGAAATAAGGTCTCGGTGTGTCAAGCACGAATCGGACAGAAAAGCGGCGAAACAAGTGCGAAGCTCGTACCTGTGCTGTTAGCGCGACGAATAATTCTAAAAGTGTATCCATCGGAATGCCTGCTGGCAGCTTGCGTCACTTACACGATCACTTCGCTGAAACTGATGGATAGAGCGTGAAAAGGTTTGTCCCCAAGGATTTCGCCCCAACAGAGTTCACGACAGAAATATAAACTAGAAAGCAATAAGAGGATGCTGGAGAAACCAATGCTAAGTGAATCACCCCCACTACCCCTCGAAGCTGCGTCATGCAGCAGCATAGAATCAGCAAAACACAGACCTGGGCTTTTAGCTAGTACCTGGGCTGTACTT